ATATTTTAATATGGGTAGAGGGGTGGAGGAAGAAATTATAGAGGTGCATACAGAAATGGTCGAATTATTATTGGCGAAAATGTATTTTCATGATGTTTATCGCAAAAAAAAAAAAGAGTGTTATTGTGTATACAATTTTACTTTAATTTGTCAATTACAATTAGATTAATTATGACATAAGTTACTCTTTTTAATCATAAATGAATTAGTAACGATACAAAGTATAGTAAAAAGATACACGTTAATATAATTGGTTGATTTATTAATTATCTTTTCACTTATATTGAATTAATGATGGTACAAGTTACATTTTTCTAATATTACTCAAATTAATTTTGGTACAGATTAGTATGTGACTAATTAAAAATTTAATTTGGATAATAATAAATTGAATTACTATTTATCATATTATAGAATGTCATTCTTTTAAAAATGATATCCATTTCAATTTAAAAAGGTAATTAATATCTCACTTATCCCATAACAAAAGGATAAATTTTACATAATTTATTTATTCATTATTAGTATTAAAAAATAAATTTTGAAAAGGAACTTTTACCTAAAACTATTACACAAGAAAAAAACTATTTTTTGTATAAACTTTGTGACATAGGGATGAAGTTTTTGCTTATGTTAGCATAACATATATATTTTTTTTTATTGTTGTTATTGTTATTGTTGAATTAGTAGAGTGGGAATAAGATGAAAAGTATATAGAAAAGGACGGTTGGTGATTTGGGGTGAGAAATATGGTTAAGTTGGTGAAAGTGATGTTGTTGTGCATAAAGTCAAGTATTCACAATGGCAGCAGAGTAATAATCATAGTTTATTTTGAAACATGGCTGCTGAATTACGACCGGAACTAACATAATGTGGGAATAACCAAGGACATCTCACTCCATCTACGACTCCTTTAATATATAAATGTCTTGCTCCAATTTTATTTTATTTTTATTAAAATACATATAGTTAAAATAAAACACTTTTACATTCATATTCTCACTTCCCTATTAATAAAATCATTGTTAAATAAGTGTAGGGGCAACCTATGAGTGTCCTAGTTATGTTTTAAAAAAATCAAATCAAAAAAGGTTAACATTTAAATAAACAGTGATAAAATTGTTAACATAATTATTTTAATTTAAAAACTTTTATTTGAAAGATAAAATTGAAAAAAAATGTCAATATCAAAAAGTGAAATCTTCCTATAATAAAAAATAATAAAACTATTATTATTTTTATTATTGTAGTTATAAATTAGATATAAATAGCTTTTATAATTTTATTATAAGAATTTTTTATTTATTTTGTAGGTAATTTTTTAATTAAAAAAAGTTAGGTTTAAAAAAATAGTCCAATAAAAAAGGCCGTTAAATTTAAACAAATATTAATATTAATAAAATGATTTTATTTTTTTGAAAAGAATTTAAAAAGTAAAATTGAAAAACAAATATAAATACTAATTAATAAGAAGAATCTCCTAGTTATATATTTAGATAGATATAGATAAGTAGACGAGTTTTCAATTTATTGTGACATATAAAGTATTCATATGTAGTAGGTCTATGATGATAGATTTAAAGTATTTACCCTTTGAAAAAAAAATATAAGAAATACAAATAACAATTTAAATTTGAGAAATAACAATGTATGTTTTGATATTGAATGGTATTTTTTTATCGATAATTGATGATAATGTTAAAATTAGATTATTTTATTTGAGATAGAAAAATATAAAAATTAAATTAAACGTAAGATTAATATTTTAAAATATATAGCTAAATTAACATATTTAAAAAATTCTGATTAGGTTTTGTTAATTTATCCAAATATGATAAAATTCAATGAAGATATGTTTGAAAATATAACTTTGTCTATGTTAAACTCGAATTGTGCTTTGGCTAAAACAAAGAGAGTCAAATACGTCATCTACTTATTATATCATGAAGCATAATTTATACATAGTTATGTATATTTTCGAGGTGATACAGATAATAGACAATAACATAAGAGAAATTGAAAAGAAAATTTAATACATTTTATTTTTTTGCAATTTATCAAAATCATGTAATTTGTTTCATCTAATAAAATATAACATGTTTAATAAAATTACCTGATTAGTTTTTTATTTTTTTATATAATCTACATGTATACTTTAAAACAATTAAATATAAAAAAAATCTCAAGATCGACCCTAACTGAGTCCCATCGGATTCTCCTCAAATAAAAATGAAAAATCCATACTACTTTATATGAGAAATCGATACTAGATATTAAAAGAGACTTTATAATTAAAATACATACAAATATTTTCTGATATTTTTTAATATGAGATTTTCAATTAAAAAATGCTTTTTTTTCTGGTGTGGTAAGTATTTAGAAAATTTTATAACAAAATGGAGCTATCAAAGTTTTATAAATTCTTAGGAACATCACATCATCCGCTGGTAATTATCGAAAAATATATAGGCACGAAAAAGAAGTTGAATTGAAGACTAAATTGATTAAAATAATTAAACCCAAAAGTGCAACCTTTCTTTATTACCTTATTAAAGTCTTAGTTACCCGTTTTGAAAGCAATCTCAACATAATTTTATAAACAATCTTATTTTTTAATTTTCTCACCATATGTTTTACTGTTTTCTTTATTACAAAAAATTAAATAACAAATATTAATACTTTTATGGGTGTTGCTCCCTCCACCTCCACACCTTTCTTCCTCCACCTCCCCTTTATTATTTTGCCCTTAAATAAAATTTTATTTTTAGGGTTAATTTTTTTAATTTTACCCATTCACAACCTATTCCACTAATAACCTATTTTAGTTCCTCCTACATGAGTAAAATATTTTTCTTTTATTTTAACATTATTTTTCTTCATCTCTTTCTTTTGTCGCGGTGAGATACTACAAGTTGTAAAGGTTGGTGGTAGTGGAAAGAATTATCAAGTAATCTCCCTCTCGTGGTGCAGTATCGCTCTCGTGATGCAGTGTCGCTCTCGTGGTGCAGTGTGTGGAGTGGTGCAGTGCGTGTGTTGCTTCCTTAAGGTGTGTTTTCGAATAAACCTTCAAATAAAACCCTAAAATAAAAAACGTAACTTTTAAACGGTGACATCCTTCAACGGATGTCAACATCCGTTTNCAAACCATCATGCAACATCATACCACAAAAAAATAACCATTGACTTTAAAATTTAAAACTAGCGCCCAATGTCCCTAAACTCTGCTCAACGCCATCACAAATAATGCAAGAATGTAAGGTTTTATCTCATTCAATTGTACAAATTGATATTTTGCACTCTTGTTACCTCAGTGTGTCAAAACATTTTATACTTGCTACCAACTTGAACAATTGTACAATCAATAATTCTCTAAAACTAGCATATCTTCAAGCAATTGAAGCATACTAAACCAAGTTTCAAACTGAATATTCAGTTGATCATAGATTCTACATCAATAACTTTCATTTATCAGTCCAAAATAAATCCTATGTTGCTTATCAAAACCCTTTAATGTGACCTTGTAAATATAATTAACCAAAACTAATGTAAGAGTAATTTGATTAACAAATTTAAACTATTATTTGATTGATTTGTTTTTAATACTGTACAAATTTTCATTTAAATTCAACCATCTCAACATTTAATTAGACATGCATAGATAAATTAAAATCAACATAATTCAAAGAATAAATTAGCTTCCCTTACCTCAAAACTTTAAGAACCCCAAATTAACACACAACTTTAGTTCATCTTCTAATCAAGCAAAACCGTTAACATCAAAATTTTAAGTAACTCAAATTCACAAGATACAAAATTCACCTACAAATGATTTAAAATCATAATGAACTCTAATTTAGTTTCCCCCTCCTTAGAAGACAACCCTACAACTCAAAAAAACTCCAAACTATTTTTAAACTCACAAACCCTATACTTCAACCTATAGACATCGAAAACATGTTTGGATTGAACTAAAAGAGTCATTGATTAAAAGAGTCATTGATTAAGAGAATGAAATAAAGGACTCTAAGAATACATGCAACCCAAAAAAGATTGCATATACTACCAAAATATATTAGATATCAAAGGAGGTTAAAATTTCAACTTACCCAAAAGGATATTTTGTTTAATTATACTTAAAGAATTCGGGGCGATCACAACCGTAACCTCTTATCACAAAAGATAATGAAATTTGAATGAGAATTTTGAATAAACATATTTGAGTTGGGGAGAAAATAAAAGAGAAGCAAAGGTCATGTGTTTTAAACTTTTACATAGGTTTGGTTTAGTTTTATTTTATTTTAAGAAAAAGGTTTTACATGATCGAACAACATTTAAGACACCCTAACATTTTTTTAAAAATATATTAATTAGTTTATAAAAATTTTATAGTATATTTTATATATTTTACACTCTTAAATTTTTATACACTCGTAAATAATTTTTGACACACTAAAATATATTTTAAAAATCTACTACTAATTTCACATATTTCATCATTTTCAAAATAAAGGAGGTATTGATTTTGTCCGGTCCTTAGAAATATCTAGGTTTGTCCTGATTTTTAAGCTCAATATTTCTTTTTCAAAATCGCGCGTAAAGAAAACTAAGAGGGATATTCACAAAACAAAGCAAGCAATTCGCAGTACATGAAACCAAACCACCTTCGAACAAACACACCAATATATATATAAACTAATAAATTACTTCCAAATAATTTCTTTTGACATTATTCTTATAGTCCTCATCATGTATTCTTCTCCCTCTTTCTCTCTCTGTTCTATTACAGAGCAAACATAACGGTCAACATCTCCTGACAAAAACGACTCGAGAGGCACATTATTCAGCTACGCAACTTGCACTGTATCAAGACTTCCACAGCAGAATTATTCAAAGCTCTAAACAAGGTGAATTAGGAAAACTTATCCTTGGATTTACTCCAACCAGCAGTCTAATATCTTGACTTGTCTATTTGTGTAAATTAACATATAAAACTACGAAAATATCGTACCAAATAAGTTAGAAAGTTCTAACTTTGCATACAATTTTTGAAAGTTTATAGACGAACAGGAACACAGATAAAGTTCAGTAACTAAAGTTGGGATATGGATAATTTATATCTTGCTGAGAATGGGGTCTGTCATGAAGTTAAGGCCGTCGTGGAAGTGTTGATGAGAGGGAGAGGTGGTGGAGGAGGAATAATGGTAGACGTAGACATTGTATTCGACTGTGGCATCACCTTTGTGGTAATCAACCTTAACACTGCGAGCAAGAACAAAGCCACGTGCGAAGCGGAAAGCACCTGTGCCACCAATAATTGGCAACTCCCTCACCGGAAGTATGATCTCGTTCCTCCCTAACACACTCAGAGTGCTGCCATTGAATTCTCCTTCAAAGAATGTCAAGGTCATCCCCATCACTATCTCCAAATCCAAACCTGCTCTTTGGGTTGCAGAGAGGTAAAACCCTTGAGCTTTTCCTACCCTTTTGGACTCAACATCGGGTCCGATGGTCAGTGGGTCCTCGATCACCACCATGGAGCCGAAGGGAAGGGGAGCGTTTGACATAATCTTTGGAGGGTCGATTATGATGAGGGAGGGTTTGTCGTTTGTTATGAGTTCATGAAAGTAGAACCGAATGTGTGTTAGCTTCTCACCAGCACGTAACTGATCGGGAGAGATTGTTTGGTAGAAGGTGACAGAAACCAGAGAAGCGAAAAGGAAGGAAAGGGTTAAAGGAAGAAAGAAAGTTTTGAAATTTGCCATGACAGTAGGAAGGAAGATGATAACTGTGAAATGAACTTAGTATGGTGATGCTACCATGTGAGTAGAGAAGACTATTTATAAGAAATGTGTAAACTTTAGGTATTAGAATCTGCTAAATAAAAAAGTAGTTATTATTGGATGAATATAAGTGTTAGTCAAAGGATATTGAATTTAAAATTGCAGTGATTAGTTGTTATTACACGGCCTAAGCGCTCTTACCTACTACTTGTTGCTTACAGATTCAGACACTATATTTCAAAATTGAATAGTTATCTAATTGGTCTGAACGTGGACTGAGGCTACTCAGCAGTAGAGAGCTGTTTATTTATGAAACAGCAGGGAATATTTTACGTTAACAACCTCGTCAATTATAGGTTTGTGCGAAATAAATAATACATTGTTGGATTAAAGAAATAGCACAAGGTGGTTGAAACAATCTTTGATATATAATGGTCTAATTGGTTCTTACGTATACTGCTTCTACCATACTACACCAGAAGAAAAATATACTTTGATATATATAAATTTTTTATATTTATTTAATAACTTTTTTTTATCTTTTACTTTCTTTTTTTGAATATAAAAATTTACTTTTTTATATTTATTTTACTTTTATATTATATGTAAAATGAATATAAAAATGTTTCATTGTATCATTTACTCAAACGAAAATAAGAAACAACAATTTATGAAAAAAGTAGGTGTAGCCTCCAGCGTATGATTTGTCTAAATAAATAGTCAGTTTTGGGTTCTTACCAAACTTTAGGAAGGAAAAGGCTGAAAAAGAGAAATGTATATTTAGAATAAGTCGTTTTTTTGTTGTCTATTACATTTTGTCCTTTTTTTCCCATACCAGCATGTATCATGTATTATTTATCTCCATAATTAACCATGTTAAAAGAACATTAAAAAAAAAATTCATACGTGACCACATATATGTGTAGGCAAAATTTAAAAAAAAATGAAATCTTTATTTTTACTTTAATATTAACTATGATAAATTAATAAATGAAATGATAAATTGAACTCATTATTTGTACATTTAATTTAATTTTTAAAAAATATTTATACATATATTTATGGAAATGTCAAAATGAAAAATAAAAGAATCTGAAATATTTTATTAATTGAAGAAATTAACATGATTTCATATATTTACATAAAAACTTAAAACCTAGATGAAAATATCATAAAAATTAGATAAATAGAAAGACAATATAAAAAGTACATCATTATCCTGATTTCTCCGCTTCATTCTCTTATTTATTACACGATGGACATAGTCAACGGTATAGGTTCCCTAATAGACATTGTAGGACACATTATCTATCTCAAGCAACTTGTACTACAACAAAAGCTCAACTTTCCAATACGACATATTTATTAGTTAGTCTTTTTCGTTATTTAAAATGTTAAAATCACGAAAAAGACTGATTAAATAAAAAATAAATGTGCTGAAAGATGTGTTGATATATTACTTTTCGTAAAAAAATGGATTATTTTCTTTTGAAGTCGTTCCGTAAACAATAAATACATTCACTAGTGTGAACTTAGTGATGGCTTGAAGACTCATGCAATTTGTGTATGTCTAATCGAGATGTTAAATTTATTTTATTTGTGCTCTAAATTTTAAATTAAAATTTGTTTTATTTTAAATTTTAATATATTTTGGTTATCAAAATTTATAAATAACATAGTGTATTAAGTTAGTCTTGAATTGAAACGTGTTAATCAATGCACATAATTTAAACATTAACTTAAAAAACTATTTGATACATGAAAAAATTTAACATAATTAAATTAAAAGATTGTATTTATTTATTCTTTTAAAATTTGAGAACTAAATTATATCAGAATTTAAAATATGAATAAATTTTAATTTTGCATAAAAGAATTTAGAGACGGAAAATATATATAATTTTTTTTAAAGAGAGAAAGAAGGGCTTCCCATTATTCATATGTGTCGTTTTAGTGTGGTGGTGCAGGGAAAAGGTTCCTTGGTGCCAATTTGACATTTAGACAATAATAGAATGTTATAAAAATGTGGAATCGCTTATCGATGAATCAATTATTTGTTTGTCTCATTATATTTAAAAAGTTAAACATAATATAATGGTTTTAAAATGTGTAACCTTACCTACTGGTTCATGATTCAATCAATTGATTCCTCACGTGGTTATACGAAACTGCATGATTGACAGAACAACGCTTTCTAGAAAATGTAAAATAAAGTTAATCTGAAACAGTTTTACCCGTTAATTCACGTTTAAGATCGTTTAGATGGGATCAAAGCATCTTAAGAGAGTATACATGTGATGTTTTGAATATGAATTGTATTATGAATAGCTTAGGAAACCATTTACTAATATGTCTCCATTGTGTTGTAAAGATTAAATAATCATCTTTTTATGTGGTCAGTTATCACAAACATGATGTCATTGTTTAATATCTATAATGACTAGACCGTTCATCGTTTAGAGGCACTAAACGAATTTATTTTAACAATTTCATATATCTAATGATAGAAAAATTAACGTCCATCTTACACATATTTCTCGACCAGTTTAAAAGATATAATTATTCACAAATTTTCAAAAAATAATCATGGACAAATTTTCAAAAAAAATCATTTATTGACAAATTTGAAAAAAGATACCATTATTGACATATCTCATTATGACATAGTGAGAACTAAAACAAAAATTTTGACATCCATTTTACCAACAAAAATGTTCTCTATTAATAAAAATGATGAATTATCCACTATATTTTCGTTAGTAATTAAAACGTTAAAATTTATTATTAAAATCTATCGATAAATAAATGTTAGTAAGAAAAAAGTGACTTAATCAATAAAGCAAAAAAAAAAAATCATTGTTTTGTGTCTTAGAGATAAGATACTATGAAAAATAATGGCCGAACATGCGCCTAATGTCAAAGAGAATTTCTCCACCGAGTTAGGTGGCAGCGAGTTCAACCACTCCAAACAGTGTCAATGGTAGTGTGAAATGTCATCTGGTTGATGAACATCTTTAGGTGTTCCTTTGGATCGGTCGAGCCATCGTATATTTTGAAGTTCAGGGGAATGAACTGCTTCGATATATGGGCCTCCATGATGGTGGGGACAAACAACAACATACTAGTCGTGTGCTTTGTTTTCATTGTGTTGTGTTCCTTGTTAGTTGCGGTACTTTCCTAATGGTTCTCGTCCCGCTATCCCTAACTTTAGTACCGATAATCTGATTCGTCCCCCTCAATTCATAGTATTGTGCCATCTGTTCTACGTGGATAGTTTTGTCTTCCTTGATGCCCTTCTCCTTGGCCGCCCTGACTGCATTCTCAGCCCTCAAGACGACCAATTCTCCTTCGTATCACTACTGCATTTCCAACATTTGCGTTTGTAGTGCTATGATCATCTCGATCGAGTCCTCTGAGCTCATGTTTCTCGTGGTTACCATTAGGTTTTCTTCTAGATCACTTGGCCCACAGTGAACGCCAAAATGTTTTCAGTATAGGGTTGAGGATCTCCACAAATTCCTTTACACTTTCTTCCCAATTAGCTTAGGTCATCCTGAACAC